TAGGCTACCAGTATCCTCCATCTGCAGGCCCTTACCGACCTTAATTCATCGGATCGAGCGCAGCACGTCATTCAAAGTTCTGAAGGGCATGCCAATTCCCGTACGCTACGTCTCGAAGAGGCTGTTGCTATAAGCCCGATCAATTCGCAGCTTTATGTTCAGAAGTTTCTGTAGGCCAGCCTTGGATTGCTCTGGACGTAAAAACGAGCTTACCGTTTTTTTGTTTTTTTTGTTTACAACACCTGACGATTACGCTTAACTCCAAGTACCATTTATGACACAAAAGAAACAATATCAAATGTATGAGACTTCAAACCTCCATCTTATCACTGTGCATTGTAAAGTATTGTGGGGATTTAATGGCTTTAACTCTTATGTAAAATGTATTCCGGAGCATTATTGCAACTCTAACGCAGGTCCGCTTGCGTTACTTTAAAGCGTAAAGGTAACATTGCAATGATTATTGCTTATCTTACCCTTGCTGTTTCATCTTATTCACATACCACTGTTTCCCTCCGGCACTGTTTATCCTGCTCTACGAAATGCTTTCTTTACTGTTCTTACTAGGTTGTTGTTATAGTTGTACTCAATCGCCGACGAGTCATATACTTTTTGTTGCAGCCCCAGGGATCTATCAGGACCCACTGTAATATTTGGAGAAGGAATAAATTGGATAGCCGGGACGGACCGTTCCTTCATTCTCTTGCGTTAAGCCTTTATGCACCAAAATCTATCGACGTCGGGTATCTCTACAATAGTTAGCAACAGGTTACATATCCTTGTCACCTAATCGGCTTATTACCGGTTGTTCCCTCGATAATCAATCAGAGATTCAATCGTGTGAGAACATTAGCCTGGCGTACATGGGGAGAAAGCAGAATCTATCGAAATATTAACCAGATATTCCTGGAAATCTAACACCCGTAGCACTGTCGAGCTTACATCAATCTAAGATTCGTTGAGCCAGCTATAAAAGAAAATACGCACTGCAACCTATAAGCATACAATCAATCCGCACTCCAAAACGTCTAGCTTTGCGACGCACAAACTTAATTCATTGCTGTCCTGATGGTGGTGTGTGTCAGTGGTGAAACAATAACGCGAAAAGGGTTAATGTGCTGCACATCAGAAATATGCTTCTCAGCTGACAAAAGTAATTTTGCTGCAGTCGACTATCGATCTAGCCGACTGACTATTCTTGTTAAACGGCTTACTTGCTATATTGAATTATGTGGCATAGGACTTCATTATTCAGATAGTTGGCATCTCGAATTTGTAGCATATACATTTGAATATAATCAAATAAGCATCGCTTTCCAGCATGCATGATTCGACAAACGTCAGATTCGAAATTATCAACACGTTCGATTGCTCAAAGATAGAGTACCGCAATGTGGTTTACTGGTATACAATAAATCGTAATACGAAAAAAACAGAATTGGCTGAACCTACTTAAATCAGATTGATCATGGATTCAACTGAAGTCGCCTAAACACCGGCTTCAAAATGCTTGGACTTGGCCCGCTCTTCCGTATTAACCCGACTTTAGTTGCTGTGTTTATGTAATCGGTTAGCATCCACGATGGAAACAACCTTGTTTTAATAATTGGTGGCCAAGCCAACAGTTAAGTGGTGCACAAAAATAATGGTTAATTCCCTCCTGAACAAACATGCAGCGGTAAAAATCAAAGTGCTTTAAATGCCGGATCCTCTTGTTTCCGCTCGTTTTGTGATAGAATCAGTGAAGCTCATACAGTAGCTAACTTCACTGGACCGTCGTCACTAAAATTACCAAAATTAAAGGTTACCGAGGGGGCCAGATTGCCATAAAATTTATTCCAGAAAACAAATAACATGGCACGAAGTAGGTCAGCTGAACTTCAAACGCAGTAGTGCTCCTCTACTTTGTTTTGGTCTTCACTTCTAAATGTTCATCATATTTGCCTCACACTTAGCATTGGCTCATGTTAACGCTAGTTTATTAGAACATGTGACATAACGGTCATTTAAGTGTAATTTACTTTTACTTTGGTATTAAACATTAGGCTGCCGTTTTACAGTGTGCTGGTGCATACATTAGTGAATAAGCAATTTGGAAAGCCATTTCGCGTGCCTTTATCTAAAAGAATGTTGCGTTCTTTATCCTGTGAATGCCTTCGCTATTTGGTGGTAGTGCTGAAGACGCACTCTCTTCCAGGGTGCATATGGCACATGATTATATTAGTAATGACACACTCAGTCTCTTTTGTATTTCCTCAGTCGCTATGCACATCATCACTTTATCACATTACTTCAACTACTTTCAACTTGACAAAGGAATCAGCTCAAAACCGTGACGCATTGATCACGGCCTACAAATATACCTCTGTCAAACAAATATGTTTGATAATTTAGTAAAAAATTAATACCACTACTACTGTAATCCAAATATTTGCATTAAGAATTGTCCGCATTTGATGGAGAGCGTCTCTTACTGTCCAGAAGTTAAACCTTTATTTATTTGTGTAAGCACTGACGAAGTTCTTACATATGCTCCTGAGGCAACTGCTTTTGCTTATGTAGCATTACGTTGTTCTGCTATCAAAGAAAAATGGACGATGAAAACACCTGCCGTCGCCTTGAAAATGCATCATTCGAAAGGTTGTAATATTAAGCGGCACGTCATGGTATTTGCATTAGGATTCTCAATAATATAAAGTTGATTTCCAGGTAAAATGCGAACAATGCCTTCCCACAATGAAAAGCAGTAACGTATTTACTTATTAAAGTAATGCTTTGTTCAGGAGATCGAAATTTGTTAAATGAATATGAGCAGATATTGCTCGCCGTATTCAAATAATCGTCGACACAAAACTCGTCGTATTTTTACTGACTGGGCTACAATGTCATTAGTACGGCTGATTGCACTAGTCAGCATCTAGCTTCCCTTCGTCAACTATGGTTCTAGTGAATCCGGTGAATCAAATATAAAACCATATGTAGGTGGTGTGCTTCATTTGCCTGTTTCCCTCGAAAGACGATAGACTGTGATTAACGTAAATCAAAACCAACTTCACGTAATACCAAAGCATAAACGTGTGAGAGGTTGGCAAGAAAATACCATGACTGGAGGACGCGGTATCACCGGAGCCTCGGTTGTTCATGAAGGCTTGGTAGATAAAAAGTTTCAAGCAATCCAGGTACATTTATTTTTCCTTACTTACAGCATACATCATTTTCTTTGATTGCAAATAAGAAAGAAATCAAATAAAGTCAGCGAAATACCAAAAGCTGATGAATTGGGATTTTAAAACATTAGGACAAATGAACTAGGAAACGGGTAGAAATTGGATATCATTAACGTAATATTATAAATGTTAGAATGCGTGTGTTTTATAATACATAAATAAAAAAGTGTACAAAATGCATCGTTAGCGAACCACTATCTGCGGTGAACACACAATAACGAGAAGAAACGTAGCAAGCACTCTAAGCAAGGTGTTTTCTACATGTCGGCCCTGCAGTCGGCCAAAAGTGATGAATCATCATTCCACATCGATGCAAAAATAAATGGGTTTGCGAATGTACCACGGCTACACACCACTGCTGTCGGATTGTAAATTGACCAAACAAACTGTGAGATTTCCAATTACTTGAAAGGAAACCTGAAATATACTTCAGATTGGGAATAAAGTTTCGTTCATAAAACGCAGTCTAATGAACAGCGGTTGAAACACATTTACGACTTGTGTGTTTCATGGGATGGCTTTTTTACATTGCAAAGGATGACGGCGTCTCCGTGAAATATTTTATGAGACTGATAAAAGTAATCATCACTAGTTGCAAATTCCACGGTTCTACCGGGAATTTCAGATTGCCGCTAGCAGTTCTAACTCGGCAATGCTTGACACGCGAAAATCAAAAACTAACCTCACCCATGAACACAAAGAAAGCGGACGGGGTAAACGTACACGATAGCCACTTAGCTAAGCTAGTAGCACTTAAGTTAGAAATACAGTGGCTTATCTACTGGCAAATGCGCAACTTCTTAATAAAAATAAGCGAACTACTGAGATAATATTATAAAAATGGACCGAAATCATTTGCCCATATAAAGGATTTTATTAGTTGTAAATAACCGCATTTTTTCTTGAAGGTTATCGCTTTAAAATACTTAAAACTTTAGTTTTCCTCTCCTAAACAAGCATTAGTACGAAGATGAGCCAATACAATGCTTGCTAGCAACTAGAAAGACCACACTTTATTCTACCGGATTAAATGCAGCTGAGCTGAATTAAATATGAAGTAAATATGAATTAATTACACCAATCTGAAACTTGAGTTGCGAAATTATAGTCTATGACAATATACTTCTAGTCACCACTTAGCGTTTCCATGAGTCAACGTGTCTGGATATTATGCAAATCTAGCTTTCGTGGCATACATATTTCAGCGAATAAGCTGCCAAACCCTTTTTGTCAATACTTTCTTCATTTTTTAATAGTTTGTCCTAGATTTCACCTAGTAATTCCTGATATCTTAGATCTCAATTCCTCTTAAACAAGCAAATCGAGATAACCTTGCTGTGCTGTAGAAGGTTCTCCAAGCCGCTTTTACCGAGTGAAACACTTGCATTAGTTAACATGGATAATAGCTTAATCGCAAGTCCGACTTCGTACGGCTTCAAAAGACTAATGTGCAGTAATGAATGGTCTTTCATTTAATTCGCGTTTGTATTGCAGGAACTGATCTCTTCACAGTTCAAGGTTTAAATATCAACTTAAGCAAATTTTTATTAGGGGATAATCCTCTATTTGCTTCGTATTGTTTAATGTCTCAGAGTTGACTACGTTCAGATTCTGCTGCTCAGTCAACCTTGCCATGTAGATAAGTTGGTTTTTATTTTTTCTCATTTTGGCGCACTCATTTTGCTGCTGATGAACCGATCGACCACCCTTCACCTACAAACATATGATGGCAATCTGCACCCTACTCAGATACCGTCATGCTTAGTGATTTACCTGTACTGTCAGTCAAGAGTGCATCTAACCGGAGCTTGGCGCGTTGGTCAACCAAGTACACCTCCTTCCTTTCATAATTGAGGATCCGGAATTCAAGGATAGTCTTCTGGGACAAAACGTCATATTGTGCAGTCGACAAATGTATTTTGTCCTTTGTGCTGTAAGAAAACAAAAGGACCAAACAAGCTTGATAAAAGTGAAAGAAGTCTCTTTACCTAACACAATACTGTATTTTATTGCGCTATACAAATCCGCAAACCAGATTTGTACTTTGTAGTCCGTTGCAGCAGTAAGGTAATAGCAACTAATCGGTGGTTGCAGAATTCAGTTTTCCTTTACGACGAAAGAACTTGATAAATTGGACAAAACAAGATAAGTACTAGTTCGCTATTTTAGCCTCTTGCATTTGCTTGACAATAGAACAAAGAAAAATAAGACTCGTAAAAAATAACTAGGTTACGTTAGATTGCGTCTCAAAAGATTGGAACGACCTCACTTACCCCATTGTAGTTAAGATTGGTTTCGCCGGCTTTTGGGAGGTGCACCTCAATGGAACGCGCAAGTCCAAACTAGGTGTTCGAAAACTGTGATTGACCATAACTTCCAACATTGCTTCATACTGAAGCAAATTACTCTGAAAAATAGGTTGAAAAATAACGTAAAAGCACAAGGTAAAATGTTATGCTAACTCAAATTCATGATTAAACCTGAGCTCGATAACCCAGTAGGCTTTCCGAATAGTAGTTATATGAATACACTGTTGTCATGCAAATTAACCTTACTTTTAATTTTGCAGTCTTTGGGAATAACACTACAATCATTTGAATAAAGCACGGACACTACAACCAAAGCTATTTTCAAGAAGCAAAATACACACTACGTTGAATGATTCTGCTATATGATATGCTCAAATGTATGGAACGGTTGATATCCAGTTTTCGTTAAAACAGGTTTGTACCAATTGTGATTATAATCAGGAGCACATGGATATAATACGCTGTTTATACATATAACCTCAGACAAAACAGGAACATGAAAGCCAATATATCCTTGGATTTGAAAATTGGTAGGTGCGATGGTACGTCTAACGGCCCCTATACTTAAACGAACATGTTTATATATCAATGGTTTTAATTTACTCCCATACAGTGTAGCGCTGAATTTGCGTGTAGATTGATAGGGATTTCACCCTGATCTGCTCCGGTACTAATCGAACTGTTAAACGATATTAGCACTTCACACAGCATTTCTTACTTGGAAAAAACTCCTTATCATCATACTGGTAGAACAGTTTTAATGTTATCTATTTTTGTCATGTCTAAGATGGAAACAAAAATAATCACCAAAATAGTTCGTTTTTCATACTACAAATGACACATAAAAGTATGTAGTCTTCTGTTCATCGGCATTCAATCTCTACGAAAATAGACTTATCAAGAAAAACATGATGTACTGTATGTAAAAGTTACTGTAGTGGAATTATCAAGAATTTTGTTTATCAAAAGCAATCATGGTCCAGCAGCAGCTTTATTTAGCTTGCTTTATTTGGATACTGTATAGAAAACTCCAGTCGAAACCGTATTCAGTCATAAGACCGAAATATGCGACACAAATAGGTCGATAGAATAACTTAAGCTGTCAGAAACACTCTTGAAACACAGCTAATTGAGCCTTTGTATTGCAAGTCACAGTTGAAAAGCAGGCAGTGGACGTAGCTTAGAAGTCTTCATTAAGCAATTATTTAAAGTTGAAATTTCTAACATGAGGATAGCGAAGCTTCTAATTTTTGCTGTTTATATGGTTTACTTTTCCATTCAGGCCGTCCGTATTATCAAGATCAACTAATTGCCTGTATCACTAACAAAGATAGAACATTTCCTTGGCGCCAACTGCGTTACATTGCACTTATGTTTGTTGAATAAAGTAAGTAGTTAGACAGGACCTATTAGTGTACTTCAGACCAATACGCTTCGTTTCTATATGTGCGCAGTAGGAAACCACGCGTCAGACCATTTCTCATTTCCTGTGCATAAGAAAGCTCGTCTTGTTATATTTAGCTTGACACAGACAGGCTAACTGTCACCCGACCGCTCTAAGTACCGTTGAAAATCATGATGAGACACTGTAACGTCCTTGTAGCTTTTCGGTGAAGCCGTTGTGATCGACCGAATGAAGCCTGATTTGTGTGCGCAGAAAGGGTTACTTGTCAACCTCATGTTACCAGGAACATATTCAGATTCATCTATAAGATAAAGTGCATGACGTACGCTGCTTCTTAATCACTTAAATTTACCCATAAGTTGTGCTGATTTTGCTAATGATGCGGACGATCAAATATGAAATCCTAGAAACTCTCGGTTTCATCCCCAAAACTTGTGTTCAAATAGCATTTGATTCACGCTAGCTTATATTCTATCTATCAATTAAAAAATATTTGCTGCTTATTATTAGCATGTCAACAAAATGACCACAATTATTTGTAGAAGTGCAAAAGCCGTTGACATTTAGCAGTTTTGTTCAGCCAGTTATGTGTAGACTGGAGAAATTATATAAATGCAAATGTGGTAATCGTTGACTGAATTCATTTACTTCAATTTACGTTAAACAATGGGTATTTTTATCGCTGCCTACCGGCTCGTAGACTTCGCTTATAATAGGTGAGTTGCATCTGAATCGGCTGCGCGTATCACTATGATAACATCTTGAAATAACTCGGAATAATTTTGGCTCAAAAGCTTTTTATTTGGTACCCATCTAGGTAAACAGCACAAAAAATAAATTCTAATTTTATGTCAAAAGTAGTGATTCAAATTTTAAATTGGTAAAGATACCTTGAATTTCAAGAAAAGATTAAGAACAACAATACAACCTACTTTAGAGATTTGTATATTCCGTGTGTGTTATATCTGGTACACGCAATCACCAGATATGTGCTAAACTTTGAATTCGTTTGATATCTCCCATGCTCATTCCATTATAAAATGTACGATAAAATGTTCTCATCTCGCCAGATGAGACTTTTAAGTCAAAAGGGAAATATTGTACAGTATAACGAACACTCTAACCGGTCGGGTGTTAGATGTTTTGAAAAAATGTTGTCATAGCAGATTTCTAATGCAAAAATTTTTAAAGTATTCTATTGTTTTTTGTTATATAAAATTTCACAAACCTAGTTGCACGTAGAAGTGGCAAACATATTATTAACCTTCGAAAATAGTACCACCTGTCTGAAACGAGCCCAAAATGCTTGATGTTTTTATGACAGGACACATATTGCGGGGTTAAGATAATTGTTAGTTATACTCCCCACAAGAAAATTACAGTGCATTTTATCCCTTGGAGGTGAATAAAAGGTGATTTATTTTCATAATGCAAGACTCAGTTAATATCGTGAATTCAATTTGGAGCAACTTAGAAACCGGTTGATTATCTTTGCTTTAAAACAACTCCATATCAGATTTTGCTCATAACGGTTTGCCAGTAGATCAAACAAAACCATTGTTTTGGCATCAGAATTTTTAGCATAAACCTTGTTTCACGTTCGTCAGGGCTTACACAAGTACAACCCCAAAAATAAAAATTGCTCTTGAGTAGCCGAAGATTCCTCAATGCAAATAAATTCTTATTGTTACTTACAGTTTTTTGCGCAAATTTTAATAATGCTTTTTTTAATCGTTACTAATGGCTTATTAATTTGAAATACACTTTGCATTTATTATTGCGTACCGTTCGTTTTATCAAACCTGCAGATAGAAAAAGATAATATGATGGCTGGAAATGTTTACGGTAGTTTATATTTCAAAACAGAATTAAAAAATATTTAACAAACAGCGTAAAACGATTCAGCATGGAAATCGATTTGTCTTATGAATCCATACGATATCCACCAAAATTGCCCGATAGTTTATTTCAGTCCTGTAACACAAGACGAGTATGCAAAGGGCCCTTGGACTTTGTAGGATAAGCGAGTATAAAAGAAGCTACCATACGACCAAATTTTAATTATACTTATCTCCATACTTTGAGTTTATTTTTGAACAATTTAAAGGCATAACTGGAATACCGACACCATGCCAAATGACTTTCAGCCTAAATAAATGTCTCCTTTTGAAACAATTCTGATGCTACCCAAATTGTTAAGGTGCACATTGTACTGTCTGCACACTGCGTCAGCATTTTTTTTCTTTACTTTTAGCTACCGTGTATCTATTTTTCAGGAAATAAACGTCCTCAAAATTATCAGTTTTGTAAGTATGCTTCAATGGAAGAATGATCAATTAAATTTAACGTATTAATAAATCTACATGTACATCAATCAGATCTTACTATGTTTTTTGCACTATGTGCAACTTTGAGAAATTGGGTAAGGTACCTACTTCTGAATATGCGGCGCAGAGTGCCTGAAATAAATATTCTGGGTGTAATTTTTAACTACAGGCTGCGGCTTTTATTCTTCTGTCCTCAGTCATTCAGTGAGTACAAATGTGGGCAGAGAGCAATGAAACTGTTTGTGGATAACCAATTAGCTTTGGCCATAAGTTAACGCCAACGACAGATCTGATGCCAGTGTTTGGTATTATGATCAAAATAGGAGTATATTTGAACATTTTTACAAATTTAGTAAGCCTTTGCATGCGAGATGCGTCCGAGTCAAATCTGGTGAGGCTACGTTTTTAAGCAAATTAAATTGTCTCTGACATGTGAAATGCACATGTATCCCCTTGCTAAAAGCGTGCTCCTATTATCTTATTAATACAACCAGCTAATAGCTAAATTTGAGGAAATAATGTTCATCAAAATCGTCACAGTTAGAGTAAGCCTAGCGGACTGCGCATTGCAGGCGTCTGTAGTAAGCGCTTGTTCAATCCTAAAGAAGAATGGTTGATAAAACCATAAACAAAACGACACCAATAGTACCGGAAAGCAACCGCTGTTCCAGTGCTACAGGTGGCTCACATTCGACTAATTAGTTTTTCAATTCAATCGGAGAAACTACACGCAACTATATTTTCAATCTCCCAACGTAATGCATTGTAAAAGAGCAAGCCGGTAATAACAAAATTTTGGTTAAGGTTGCTTCCAAAAAGAGCGGCCATTTATAAGTAACGGCACCCCCAACTGGATTGGAAACTAAAGAGCAAAACGGTGTTTTCCTGCGGCAATCATTCCAGGTCTCCTCACATATATCCCCGAGTATCTCCTTCAGCACCCGTGACATATCAAGCGATGCAAAGGAACAACTATCTGTACTGATCGTGCTGTGCTCCAATGAATGAATGAATGAATGAATGAATTTGTATATTTACCGACGCACTGTACACGGCCCCATAAGTGGGAGCGATCATGTGTATAGTGAACACGTTTCATAACATTAAAGAAAAGTTTATTGATAGCATTTCGGATCATGATTACTTTTCCTTGAGTCCTAGACCCGCGCAACTCATATGTAAAATTTATGGATGTTTGTATCGTCAGGAGTAGATAATAAACGAAGGGACTATTAGGCTGCAAAGACACAGGATTTGGTATGGTATGTAATGACATGTAGTGGGTAAGCTAGCTGTAAGCTATTATCAAATGTTTTTTATACCAACTTCTGTCAGTGTTTCTAGTGTTTGCTGTGAGTCAAATATC